CCCCGCCGCCATCCGCCATGCCCCGCCGTCATGCCCCGCCGTCATGCCCCGCCGTCATACCCCCACGCCGCCGCCATACCCTAACGCCGACATAGCACATCTTCTTCTTCTTCTTCTTCTTCTTCTTCTTCTTCTTCTTCTTCTCTCCTCCTCCGCCTCCCACTCATCTTCTTCTTCTTTCTCTTCTCTCCTCCTCCTCCTCTTCCGCCCATCTTCTTCTTCTTCTTCTTCGACAGCCATACCCTAACGCCATACCCCGCCACCATACCCCCCCGCCATACCGCCCTGCCGCCGCCGCCATCTTGTCCATCGTTTGGTAGGTCGCGTGAGACGCGGCAGGGTAAAAAAAAAACAAAAAAAAAAAAACCCTTCATCCTTCCCGCTACTCTCCTCATCTTCTTCTTTTGTTACTTCTTGTACTTCTCTCCTCCTCCGCCTCCCCCTCATCTTCCATAGTACCTCCATCCCTCCCTCCCATCTCACCATAGTCCCTCCCTCCCTCGCCATCTCGCCATCCCTCCCTCCCTCCCATATCCACACCTCGCCATAGTATCTCGAAATCCCTCCCTCCCTCCCGTCTCGCCATAGTCCCTCCCATCTCGCCATCTCGCCATAGTCCCTCCGTCCCTCCCTCGCCATCTCGCCATCCTTCCCTCCGTCCCTCCCTCGCCATAGTATGTACTTGGTATCATACATGCAGCAAACAGCAGGCGACATACATGCAGAGTCCCCAACACCCAGACCCCCCCCCCGCCCCTCCCCCTCGCACCCGGGCAACTCGTCCCCCCCCCAAACCAGAATTTTATTGCAGATTCGGGGTCCTCTCGCCGAGCACAGGAGAACCCCACCTTCAAAAAAAAAAAWAAAAAAATTCTGGGCTGTTTCTTTGCCCGCCCAGTTTGCCCAGGCGGCCCACCCGGGCCCGCCCGGCGGCGTCCGTACTCAGGTGAAAAGTTGAAAACATAGAAAGCACAGGGACAAGCACGTGGCCAAGTAAGAGGACGGGGAAGTAGTCTCCATAAAGAGAGGTGAGGACATGTGAGGAAGCATATGTGGTAATCCCAAAACTAGATATGTAGGGACACGTTTAGAAGGTGTTACATGCTGAGCCTGCACACGGGCCCCATTTTGGGGTCCCGGCGGTTGATGGGGGCCCCCAGGCCGCACGCCCCTCAGCCGCGCGCCCTGGAGGCCCACAGCCGGCCTTAGGACCGCATGTTTCGATTTGAGGCAGCATTTATTTATTTATTTGCTGTCCTATTTTTGTCTGTTCAGGCATCGTTTCGGACTTGCAGTTCTTCCAAACAGACTTCTGGTCTGTTCAGACGAGGCCACATTTTTGGCCTGGTACGGATGTAGGCAGGCCCGTTTTTGTCCAGTTGCGGACAGTCCCTGCCGCATCAGCGGGGAGGGCCTGGACGTCCGGTAGGGAACCAGGCAGGCCACGTTTTGGCCTAGGACCAGAGGCAAAGACGGAGGCACACCCGCAAGGCCCAGCGCTACGTATAGTTGGGCCAGGCCAGAACAGACACACAGTTCGAGGAGCTCACTTCTTGGGCGACACGCTGCTGGAGCAGAGCTACGCTGGAGGTAGAGGTAGAGGTGTAGGTAGAGAGTGAGGCGGAGGTCATACTTGCGTCGGCGGAGATCCTACCTGGGCGCCATAGCTGGTCTTTGTGCCAGCGCACCTTCTTCTTCTTCTTCTTCTTCTTCTTCTTCTTCTTCAGT